ACTCTTTGTCACTCACCGTTGATATTTCCATCTCACTCTCTATTTAACTTGCGAGAATCAGCGCCTGGCTGATGCTATGGCCATATTATGACTCTATCCTTTCCTTTCCTCATCCAATCTTATCAGCAGCTCACAGTTCTTGTCAGCCACCAGTGATGTTACTGCCGTACCCTCCATAGCTTGGAATCAACACCTAACTGATACTGTCACTCGTGCTATGAATATGGGAACTCTACCTTCTGAGGCACGTATCTTATCAGCTCTTATCACTTCCTGTCACCCACCAAAAATGTTCCTGTCTCAACCCTCATACCACTTCTTGGAACCAAGGTCACACCATACTGTTGATTCTCTGGGTATCTCTGCTGCAGGGTCGAGTTGAATAGCCATGCCTTCATAGGCCTAGTGAGCAGCTGTTCCTAGGTAAGGCGCGTGGCCTAGGCGTAGGCATATGGGTCGTTATTGTGGCACAGTGTGGCCGTGTACACTTCGCGTAGGGGACAGTAACGCCTAGGTCGTGGGTAGCAACAGCGCACCTGCGTGGCAACAGCGGAGACGAGTTGAGGCGAGCCACTACACGTACTCTTACCGGACGAGGATCCTCCTCCATCCGGACCCCGATGCTGGGTCAGAGGGGCTCGACGACCGGGTGAGACGCCAGGCGATGGAGGACGGAAGCTGCTCTCGGCACGACTCTAGGGAATAGGCTTTTGCCGCTTTCTTATTTCAGCATCCTGCTGCGATTCGTTTCACTCCTTGGTGCATCATACACTATTGTGCGCCATGATATCGAATGAACTTGTGCGATTCAATTAGGGCTACCTTTTGGTGCATGCAGCGATGTGTTAGCAAAAGTGGCGATTGCATTGTGGAAAAAGTTCTCATTTAACAAAAAAATAGTTAAGGTGGACATAAGAACAAAAGTCGGCTATGCTATCGATGTCGCTTCTGGTCTCGACTACCTACATTCTAAAAACTGCATGCATAGGTACGATGATTTCTTACAAAGAAAAGGGATGCTATTTACGAAAACATTCATCGTAGGGATATCGCATGCCGGAACTGCCTCATCAATGTGGCCCAAAATGTTGTTAAGCTTTCTGATTTTGGCTTATCCAAACAAGCTGAGAAATATAATATTCCGGAGAACGAAAAATTGTACTCAGCTGTATGTTACACATGAGGACCACTTTTACTTCACTTTTTCAAGGCTTCTCACTAATACAGGCAAGCTCCCGAGGTTATCTTGACCAGAGTCTACACAGCAAAATGTGATGTATATTCTTATGGCATACTTATTTGGGAAATATTCCATAACGCTGAGACACCATTCAAGGGAATTGACAACAAAAAGTTGAGAGCTAAGGTGAGGCATTTCGTAATTCTCAAGAGTCGTCAATCCTATGCAGGTCCAAAACCCGAAACCCTGTGTTTTCGGACATGACACGACGTCACATAGAGCGTCATAGGATGCCAACCTGAAAAGGGGATTGGATGTGGGATACCCGTCTGCAAAAGGTGAGCACCACTTTTGCTGAATGGGACTGGTTCATACACAGTGACGTTCCTCCCTTTGGGGTATGCAAAACCTCATCTTCCAGCACCATGCATACGGTTCATAGGTTATAATATCACAGTCAGTTGGAGGCGGTGTGGCGAGGGTGAGGTGGACCCGCTTTGCTCTACGAAATGATCGGCTAGTGATCGATTTAGGTAGAAAACAATCAGTGGTGACAAGGCCGCAATAATACAAGTTTACCACTCTTGAAAGCGACTCGATTGAATGCAATGGTACTAGCCGACGTCATAAGAACGATTTCGTAATCACTACAATGTAACAGGACGTCTTGCAGCGTGACATATCCTAATCCCATCTTGTAACTTTGGTTTCCTTCCATAGAACAATAGCAACATAGCACGAGAAAAAAGTATCTGGTCGAATGTCTACTGATCTCAAAACGTTTCAGATAAGTAATCCGAATTATCGTCCCCGATTAGATCCTGAACTACCCATTGTTGCTAAGAAAGTAATAAGAACGTGTTGGCAAGCAGATCCGGAGAAAAGGACCCAAGATGACAGAAGTGCTGCTTTACCTCCTCAAGGCTCCTCCAGAATTGTGAGTCATACTTGCGACATCTGATCCCTGCCTCAGAAAGAAATCAAAGCAAAAATAGATAGGTTATGAATTGCCACAGGACGAGCATAGTTCTTATCTGTTTGTTGGCTACACCTTTTTGGTCTGGGGGCGGGGCTGAACTCCGATGTGAAAATGTATTTATGCGTATGTCTGTCTGAATAACTACCCAGAAAATGCTCCTTGGTGTGATGAAGGATTGGCAACGTTGGCAAGATGAGGGCTGCAACGCTCATCAAATGAACCACAAGGTGGGAGTCCACACTGTTGAGAAAACAGTAACAATAAAGTACGCCTCAGTTATGACCCCATCAAATCAGTAACGCTGACGTTAAAAACAAGTGACTACGGGTACGGAGCGATCCTTTAGTTTTCGTTGCGCAAGTGCCCTGAGATCATGTTTCGAGGACTTGTACACCAAGCCCTTGAGAACCTTGAAGTTACAATCCAATACTTGGAACTTTTCCGCAAGTCGACATTCAGGGAGGTCCGTAATTTTACAAGCCGCATGGTGTGCGTGCTAGCTCGCTACTGGAAAGTAAGTGTTGACGGCGCTAAGAATTCTAGCACCCTTGCTCAATCACATTCTAAGCCCACGAACGTACGGGTACCGCGCACTGTTACAATAGGTTTCCTCTATCTCTCTTGCGTTGTTCCGCCGTTGTTGTCTCTGTCCCCTTCGAACGCTGAAATCCGAAGCGGTCCTTACTTCGGGAAATGTCGCCAGTTTCCTCTGCTCCATCCTTCTTGGGCCAATTTGAAGGTGCACATTCATACAGTACTTCATTTCATTACCTAAGTCCTCTATTCGCATAATGTCTCCTCAATGCGAAAATCTCCGTGTCCATGTGAACAGGATAAATCAAGTCTCTTAGGCTCGAACCATGTAAGAAGAAGCCGGAACCTCCTAGAAAACCTGCAACTACTGATGGCCATGTCGGTGGT